CGTTTTTGGATGTTTCGGTCTTGCGGCCCGTTCGGGCCTTTGCGCTCGCGCGTCCGTTGTTTTTTTCCCCTGAGTGCTCTTGCGAGGCGGAACTGTTTCCCCGGGAGTTGAGTTGGGCCTGGTCTGTGTGGGGCGTTGTGGGGTGCATGCGTCATTATCGAGCAGTCTGACCATTGGCGGGTGGACGCCTGGCGAGGAAAGAAAAACCGAGAGAGAGAGAGAGAACGAGAGACATAGAGAGAGAGACATACTGACAGACAGACAGACAGACAACTACACATATGTACAGACAGGCAGCCAGGCAGACAGGGAGAGAGAGGGAAGTGCTTGTGTGTGTGTTGGGGGGAGACAGCATGAAAGAGAGCCGGAGACAAAAAAGAACACACATAATGGCACAACCTTCATATGCAGGTATAGGTTTGTTTTGGTTTATTTGGTGTATGTATATGTCTTTCGTTCTTTTCACACATATAGATATTTTATATGTGTAGAGAGAGAAACAAACAGAGGACCATCTGCATACACATATAAATATATGTGTATAGGAAGAGAGCGAGATAATGATTGAGGAGGGGTAGGAAATAGAGTGAGGGATGTAGGGGGAGTGGCAGTGAGAGTGAACTAGGGAGAGAGAGAGAGAGAGAGAGAGAAAAACAAACAAACAAACAAACAAAAACATGGAAACCAAGAGAGGGGGAGAGAGAGAGCGAGAGCTAACAAGAACAATAATATAGAGGTGCAGAGATGGATGTAGAGCGGTATATATATATATATGTGTAGAGAGAGGGTATGAGCGAGAGAGAGAGAGAGAGAGAGAGAGAGAGCGCAACACAGAGAGCGAGAGGGAGAGAGGACGAGAAAGAGAGAGAAAAAGAGAGACCAACACAATGAGCATGGAGCGAGGGAGTGAGGGTGAGGGAGAGAGGGGGGATGAGGAACGGTGGGTGGTGGCCGTCCTTTCTGTTTTTGCACTGCCCAGACACGAGCCTCGGGGAAGTTGCTGCGACGTCACATCGTCTCCCTCCTCCTTCCGCCTTCCTCCTCCCCTGCCCTCCGTACCTCCGTCCCTCCTCCCCTCCTCCCACCCTCTCCCAGCGTTTTGCCGCCTGCCCCCCTTCGCCCAATCAGGTGAGCGAGTGGGACGCCGCGCGGAGCTCGGGATCGCGCGCCGCGCGGGGCCTTCCGCGCGGGATCGGCAGCCTGAGCCACATCGCATCGTGGCGTCCTTCTCGAAATTTCGACCTTCGAGGCTCGAGGGGTGGAGGCATCTTCGGTCGATCTTCGAAGGTGGGCCCAGTGTCGGGCGTCTGGAGGCCTCTTGGGGGCCTGAGGGGAGCCTCTGGGGACCTCCGTGGGTCAGGGCCCAAGGGAGGCGAGGCACAGAGAGGAGGGGCCAGGGTGAGCAGAGGGTGAGAGAAGGACGGACGGTGGAGGGCGGAGGAGGTGGAGGGAGGGCATCTCCACTGGGACCTCGCTGCCTTCAAAAATTGTCCTGGGGCGCATGCAGCCCAGGATTTCGAGGCCGGTCCAGCCGAGGCGACAGGGGGGCTCCCCATGAGGCCAGAACAGAGGGAAGGCGTAATGGACGTTCCCCTCATCCTCGGGCTGTTCTCCGAGTTCGTATCTATTTGTGCCACTCCCTCGCACAGTGTGTCTTCGGAGCTGCCCTGTCACCGAGGCGGGCTGCGTGCAGTGATTTGCGAGGACCTTTTCCTGCTAGTTCCCTTCTACAGAGATGCGTGAAGAAACGGCACAAGCTCCGGGCCACGCATCGAAAAGATGTCAGCGCTGGATGCCTGGGGGGGAGAAGGGAGGGTGAGGTCCTCCTCCTCCTCCCTCCCTCCCTCCCTCCCTCCCTCCCTCCCTCCTCCTCCTCCTCCTCCTCCTCCTCCTCCTCCTCCTCCTCCTCCTCCTCCTCCTCCTCCTCCTCCTCCTCCTCCTCTGGGGGCCCTTCCCTTCTCCCCCCGTGTGCCCGCTCGAGAGCGGCCCCCGAACCTGTCTTCGAGCGCATGCCGCGTTCCGCCCAGGACCTCGAGGCGGGCGTCGAGGCAGGTCCGGCCGTGGCCGCAGAGGCCCCCGGTGGCCCAGGAGGAGGAGGAGGAGGAGGAGGAGGAGGCGGCTCCTCCTCTGGCCTCGGCCTCCCCCCTGGCTCGACCATTTCTCTCCCTCTCCCCCAGAGGAATCTCCCAGGAGGCCTGCCCCGAGGGTCCCGAAGCCTGAGGTATATCGAAAGCAGGGGAAAAGAGGTGTAGGCTCCAGGAGCGCGCGTCGACCCCCCCAGGCGCCCATCGGATCGTCGGCAGGGGCCCCCGATATAGCCCACTCCGCCCAGGAACGTCGGGCGCTTCTGGCGGGGCCCTATCGGCGATCTATTGGCTTGGCATCGCTCGGACGTGTGCATTTTTCCTTCGGCGAGGGCCATCGAGGAGCATCCTTGATCATTTGGCGAAAAAAACACGCACACAACCGAACAAAAACACAGGGAATGGACGTCCGAGCGATGGCCAGTTGGCGATGTATCTGGTGCATCGCCCAGGCATGCAAAAGCACCTCGCAGTTGATGTGGCAACGGACGTAAAAAGGCATCGGTCTCAGGTATCATGGTAACCGGGATAGGTCAGTAGCTCCCCCCCCAATAATTTCTGAAGAAGTTTTCGCGGCACCCGCCGCACAGCAACGGCGACGAGGACGACTACGATCAGGACTACGACTGCGACAACGACCAGGATGCGACTACGGCTGCGGCTACGGCTGCGACTGGGAGTAGTAGAATTTGAGCAACGCCTTCGGCGAATCATGTGTCGATCTATATTGCATCCCTCGCACAAGCGTGCTCAAACTGTTTCACACGAGTTACAACTACAACCACAAACGCGGATTTCGATTGCCATCCTGATGAGAAGATGCTCACACATCCTCTCCAGCGAGGGGTAGCCAGCAATGGAGTATGCCCGGGGATAAAGAAACACCCCAACAGTACCCAGCCCGCCGAACAATAGAGGGAAACGAATCTCCGCCGCGACGACGATCAGGACGACTACGACTACGACAACGACCAGGAGGAGGAGCAGGAGTAGGAGGAGGACGAGTGGCAGGATGAGGAGGGGGAGGGGTGGGGAGGGAGGAGGAGGAGGAGGAGAAAAGGGGAAGAGAAGGAGGAGGAGGAGGAGGAGGAGGAGGAGGAGGAGGAGGAGGAGGGGAGGAGAAGGATGAGGAAGAGGATGAGAATGAGGAAGAGGAGGAGAGGAAGGAAGAGGAGGAGGAGGAGGATTGGCGAGTTTGTTTTCTGCCTGGAGAAACAGGGCGGGAGGGGACCCTCAAAACTCAAGCACTCCTGAGGTTATCGTTGCCCCTCCAGAGCGGTCTCCACAGAGTCCAAAAATTGACGAAATCTCGATTTCCTAACCTCTCCTCGGTGCCAGCTCTCTTTCCCCCCCCCCCCTCCCCGGGCGGAAGGCGGGGATAATGACGAGGAGGAAGAGGAGGAGGAGGAGGAGGAGGGAGGAGGAGGAGGAGGAGGAGGAGGAGGAGGAGGAGGGGGGACGGAGCCAGGAGGCGGCAGGCAAATGAGGAGGGAAGAGAGGGAGAATACGAGAAGAGGAGGAGGAGGAGGAGGAGGAGGAGGAGGAGGAGGAGGTAGGACAAGCGTAGACCCAATACGCATCAACGACGTTGCAATGAACCCTCCCGCCAGGTTTCCTCTTCCCAGGCCCCTGCAAGAAATTATTTCCACTGCGGGGAGTGCACCATTAAAATACAACCATCCGATAATCCCCAATCGTGTCAAAACACATGTTCTGCGGCTTGAACGTCGCGAATCAACGTGACGGTCGCGCCATGACAGTCCTAAAACGCGCCAGAGTATCATTTCTTGGGACACCAGCTCCACGAACCGACGTGATTTCTGTGTCCCGTCAATCCGACGTCTTCGGACGCCAACCCTACGAATCCCCCGAAATGTTGCAACCGTTCGGGACGATTGCGCGTGGCGCTCAGGCGAGAGCAACCGTTACAATATGAACCGCCCTCAACCCTTGAAACCTTTGCAAACTTGTCAAACGAATGCAGGCGGCGCTAAGGTTAGAGCAAGATAATGAAACCGACCTGCACTCCAAATGCTGCAAGCTTTAAAGGCGTATCTGCGAAGCGTTAAGGCGAGACCAGTATGTTAGAAACAGCACGCCCTCCCTCATTGAATGTGTTGCAAGTGGCAAGTTCCAGGATCATGAATGGCAAGGAAGCCCACCTTACCAACACGTGCGGGGTTGCGCCAGGAGGAGACACTCATGATGAGAAGGGATACAGGTAGGAGGTAGCAGGAGGTAGGAGGTGTAGGTGGAGGGGAGGGAGGAGCCAGAAAAAGGAGGAGGCGGAGGAGGGGGAAGAGGAGGAACGATGAGGAGGAGGGACCATGATGAGGAGGATGAGGATGAGGAGGTCGGAAGTAAGAGGTAGGAGGTAAGATGTAAAAAGTATGATGTAGAAGGAGGAGGCGGAGGAGGAGGAGGAAGTTGAATAAGGTAGGAAATGGTGGATGAGGAGGAGGAGGAGGGGGGAAAGAGAAGAAGGAGGAGGAGGAGGAGAGGAAGAGAAGGAGGAGGAGGAGCGAGGAGGAGCGAGGAGGAGCGAGGAGGAAGGACGATGATGAGGAGGTAGGAGGTGGCAGGCAGGCAGGAGGTAGGAGGCGGAGGAGGAGGAGGAGGAGGAGGAAGGAGGAGGAGGAGGAGGAGGAGGAGGAGGAGGAGGAGAGGAGGAGGAGGAGGAGGAGGAGGAGGAGAGGAGGAGGAGGAGGAGGAGGAGGAGGAGGAGGAGCGAGGAGGAGCGAGGAGGAGCGAGGAGGAGCAAGGAGGAGCGTGGAGGGAGGACGATGAGGTGGAGGTAGGAGGCGGCAGGCAGGAGGAGGGAGGAGGAATTCTGGGGAGCAGGGCGGAGCAGGAGGTGGACGAGGCAGAAAAGGCCCTTCATCCACCCCCCCCCCGGCCCCGCGTCTGGCGGACAAGGTGCAGAACCTCGGGGCCTCCGCGGCGGCGGGCACGGACGTCGAGATGCCAGGGGGCAGCGGGACCCTCCCCAGTGGGGGCGAGGGGGAGGGGGGACGGAGCGCCGCGCCGCGGGACGGCCTGCGGGGAGGAGGCGGAGGAGTGACCTTCTCATCCTCCTCCTCCTCCTCCTCCTCCTCCTCCTCCTCCTCCTCCTCCTCCTTGATCGCCTCCTCCTCCTCCTCCTCCTCCTCGATCGCCTCCTCCTCCTCCTCCTCCTCGTCCTCCTCCTCCTCCTCCTCGATCCCCCTTCTCGACTGTTGGCCCCCCCTGCCGCCAGGGAGCGGGCGGGGGGCTGAGGGGCAGGGAGGAGGGACTGGGGAGGCGGAGGAAGAGGAGGAGCGGGGAAGGGGAGGGGAGCACGGATGAGGAGGAGGAGGAGGAGGAGGAGGAGGAGGAGGAGGACGAGGACGAGGACGAGGAGGAGGAGGAGGAGAAGGGCAGCGGAAGGGGCAGGGGAGGAGGGAGGAGGGGAAGAGGGCCCCCTCGAAAAACTAGCGTCGCATCCGCGTGCCATGCACGCGGGAGCCCTCGTTGTGAACAGGAACCGCCGTGCACCATCCTCGCGGTTTTTACCAACCAAGATGTAGGAACATAATTCTCAGGCAAGCTTCAAGCGAGACCTATCTGGATATTTGCCCACCCCCGAGGGCGGGACAATATCCATAATTTTCCACGGCCAGTCAGGGACACAGTGGCGCCCGAACCACAGTCGGAGGGGGGTTCGAGATGAGGACGATAGAAGCGTGCGCGTCGGGGGCGTGAGAAGACTTGTTGACCTCCCATCTACCACCAGGCAATGTATTACCGACCTGCGCGCCTCCCATGTACCACAGCGTGGGCGCAGTCTGACTTCACTTCAACAAGAGTAGCTGGGTCCTCCAGGGACCCCGCGAGGTGCAACAGTCGTCGTGGCACGCGTGTGTTGCGGCTCGTCACTGCTAGGCTGGTGAGTTGGGCATCACCTCCTCCTCCTCCTCCTCCTCCTCCTCCTCCTCCTCCTGCTCCTCCTCCATGTTCCCCTCCCCCTCCCCGCTCTTCCCATCCCTCCGCCTTCTACTCCCTCCTCCCCTGCAGTACTTTCCAAGCGACATGATATGCCCTTGAAGGTGGTCTCCGGTGGCCTGTGGGTGGGGGGGCCCAGAGGAACCCCGCGGCGGTCGCGGGAGCCCTGCGGTGACTCGAGAGGGTGGAAGAGCAACCGAGATTTGTGTTCTTCGATCCACGGGACTCTCTCAGGGCCTCAGAAACCAGGCTTCTGCGAACCAGGACTTTGCAGGGTGCAGCTGGCGAGAGAGTGGAGAACGGAGAATGCTCCAACACATGGCCGCACTTTGTGCCGGCGTGCCGGCGTACCAGTTGCCTAAAGTCCCTGGACCCTTTCTTCGGGTATGGCCAGGACCCCAGGACCCGGTTAGTGGTAGGGCCCCGGAGCCTTTGACTTGGCCAGAATCACTAAACCAGGTTTGCCATAGCTTGTGTTTTTTCGGGTGACGGCAGTTCCGGTTAGTGGACATGGGACGGGGGGGCGCCCCCGAGGTTCCACTAAAACCAGTTCTACCAACGCCCGATTCTCAGGTGGGGGAGAGGGCTCCTGGCGGCGCGCACGAAGGGGTGGGACGAGGAGGCTGGTCTCGCAAGAAAGCACGGGGGCGTCGTAGAGGCCATCCAGGCTGCTGAGAAGCCTTCTTAGAAGCCCTGGGCCCCGGGCCTTTCTAAGAAGGCCCCTGCCCTCTAGGAAGCCCCCTCTGTCTCGGAAGGGAAGCGCAGTCTCAACGGTTCGGGGGGGGACGCCTTTGCGCGCCCTCCAGGAGCGCGATCGCCAGCCTCATGGAGCAGGGCCTGCTGAACCAGGCCCTCGCGTCGGCTGTTGCTGCCTCGATCTCCGCCGCCCTTTTCGTGAGGCACTGCGGGGCATCTCTCCCCGAGGTCTTAGCTCCACGGTCTCCCACTTCGGTACTGTAGCGCATCAGGAGGTCCCCTCCTTCGTGTGCTCCTGGCCCCTCGGCCCATGGCAGACCGGCAGCAGCTTCCCATTGCCATCACCGCCTCGACTTGCTGCCCCGTCCACTCGTCGTTGGCCTCTCGCCGCTCGCTCTCGCTCCCGGTTGTTGCCCCTTCGCACCCTCCTGCCTCCCGCGCGCCCGCGCCTCTCAGGATCGGTTCTCTCTTTCCCTCTGTCTCTTTCGGCCTTGCCTCCGTTGCTGAAGAGGACATGTGCGGCTTCCGCTGCCGTATGTGCTGTTCGCCGCGCCCCGTCGTGCTGCCTGAGTGTACAGTCAACCCGCGCAGTGAGGATGAGTGGCTTTCCCCAGGGTGGCCTTCCATCCCCATGCCTCCTCGGCCCATCCTTTGCCACTCTCGTTGGCCGCACCCCGCTCAAACAGCCTCGACATGGGCGTCGAACGCCCTTGCATCCTTATCGCGCATCCTCATGTTACGGGCCAGCTGTAGTTGGTTTCGGTCTGTCCCCTCCTCCCCTTCTTGTGCAGGGCCTCTTGGGGGCTACTGGAGGCCTGGGGGGCCGGCCTCTTGGGATGCGCTTCTGGCCTCCTGCGTGTTTTTTCCTTCCTCGCGTTTCGCTACAGGCCTCGTCGTACACATTGATCATTTCTTAGTATTCGAGAGTTCTTTGATTTGTTGGGGTCCAAGATCCTCTCATTTCTAATTCTTCTATCCTGGGCCTCTTCCTGGCCCTTGGGGGGCCAAGAACAATTGGAAACGAGCACAATTAGAAATGAGCACAATTAAAAATAAACGACGTTTACAAGTGGAAAAGGCCGACAGGGGAGTCCGACAGGGAGTCACATGTATAGTCATCGGCCGTTTCGGCCTCGGGGGATACTTGCATGTTGCACGCCCGGCTCCTTTCACTAGCTACGGTTCACCGCATGAGTTCGCCCAGCGTCGCAGAAGATGTTTCCCCCCTACTCCCAGATTATTCGACGGAAATGAAGAAAAGGGGGGAAAACTTGGGATGCATCCCAAGGGGGCTATTCGGACGCACACCTGTCGAGGATGGACACCCCCCCATCGTGTATCCCACGGTTGGGCCCCAACTTTCTCGTCTATCCGAAAACCTTTTGCAGCCTGGGATAGGGGTCGGCATGTCCCCTGTAATAGCGCAGGTCGGCTCGTGTGGAGCTCCCTGATTGCACGGTGACCTTTTGACTCGCATTACCGTTGGTGCCTGCAAGTGTGGAACTCTGTGGCCGCGCTCTCACAGGGAACTCCTTTCAGTTGCGTATGTCTGACCAGGGGGCAGGGTTTGTACGCCCGGGCCGGCGCCAGCAGCAAACAGTATTGTTGTTGTTGTTGTTGTTGTTGTTGTTGTTGTTGTTGTTGTTGTTGTTGTTGTTGGTGTTGTTGTTGTTGTTGTTGTTGTTGTTGGTGTTGTTTCTGTTGTTTTTATTATTATTATTATTATCATCATCAGTATTATAATTATTATTGTTGTTGTTGTTGCTGTTACCGTTGTTGTTGTTGTTGTTAAACTCTCATTTCTGAAAATAATTATTGTTGATCCCCCTCACCAGTGCACGCTGTTTTTTCTCAATCAAAGTGTGCCCTCGACGTTCGCACCTTTCTGTTTGACAGGGAAAGTCTTCGTGCTCAAACTGGGCCCCTGGCCCCCAGAGTACAACAAGAATTGCTCCCGCCTGAGACTTGCTCAAATTTATTCAGGACCCCCGCTCCTGAGATTTCTTCCCAATTTACTCAGGATCGGTGCTCCCGCTTGTGACTCCCTCGCAATTTAGTCAGGACCCCCGCTCCCATCTCAGACGTCCTCACAATTTACGTTCAGGAACGGCGCTCCCGCTTGAGATTTCTTCGCAAATGAGTCAAGACTTCTTCGCAATTTAATCAAGACCCCCGCTCCCGCCAGCGAGCCCCTCACATGTTATTCAGGAATTGCGCTCCCATGCAATTTATTCCGGGATCGCGCCTTCGACGCTCAGGAAACACGTTGCGCCAAGGACGCCGTTACAATAATCGCGCTCTCGCCAAACTCAGGCATCCCGCTTGAATGTCCCACCCGCTCGACCCGCCCGTCAGGGGATCGCCCGCCCGTCGTGGGCTCCCGCTCGAGACTTCCTTCAGGAACGGCGCTTTCGCTTAGGACTGTTTCGAACGTTCGCGCTCTTACCTTCCTGCTCCTCCCTCTCCCTCCTCCCTCCTCCCTCCTCTCCTCTCTTCTCTCTCCCTCCTCTCTTCCCTCATGCTTATGCCTCTTTGCCCTATCCCCTCTCCCTCCTCTCCCTTCTCCCTTCTCCCTCCCCTCTCCTGCCTCCTCCCTCCCTCTGTCGTTCTCTCTCTCTATCTCTCTTTCTCTCTCTCTTTCTCTCTCTCTCTCTCTCTCTCTCTCTCCTCTCTCTCTCTCTCTCTCTCGCCCTCTCTCTGCCTCTAATCAACCTTCCCCTCTTCGCTCCTTCTCTCCTGGCGTTTTCACTCTTCTTTCGTCTCTCCCCCTCCCTTCCTCCCACTTTCCCTCGTTCTCCCCCTCCTCTTTTTGCAGGGCCCACACCAATTCCAATGGCGGGCACATGTACGCCTTTGCCCGCCTGTCTAAGCCCGCCGCCCCCCGCAAAGAGAAAGAATCCCCCCAGAGGGGGTGTGATCGACGACAAAAAAGGGCGGGTATCGAGGGTGTGCGAAACTCGTTTTGAATGACACACGGGCAAGTAAGAGCGAACAGTCTTTGAATGATTGTTGTTGTTGAACTCTCATTTCCGAATAATTATTATTGTTGATCCCCCCCGTCCGGTGCACATTTTTGTTCGATTGCCTTTCCCAGGGCTCGCACCTGGTTTTTTTTTCAAGGACAGTCTTGAGGATCAAACTGTGTTGCCGGCCCCCGGTTTACAACAACAGCGGCTCCCGCCTGATATTTCCTCACAATGTATTGAAGAATCGCGCTCTCGCTTGGGACTTTTTCGCGCTCTCGTTTGGGACTTCTGAGTGCGCGTGATGCTCAAGTGCCCCCCTCCTGCCCCCCTCCCTCCTTGCCCCCCCCCTCCCCCTCCCCTCGCCCGTCCTCCTCATCCTCCTCCTCCTCTTCTTCCTCTCCCTCTTGCTGCTGCTGCTGCTCCTCCTCATCCTCTTCCTTCTTGCCCGCCTTTTCCAGTGCGTCCTCCTTCTTTATTCGCCCCCTTCCCTCCTACCTCATCCTTCCTCTCACCCCTCCTTTCCGGCTTTCCCCCCTTTTGCGGGCAGCTTTGTGCTGATCCATTTGAAACAGTGCCCCGCTGGTGCGCGCGAGTAGTTTTGGATCTCAGTTTCAGGCGCCTCGCCCCCCCGGCCGTCCCCGCCGCGCAACCTTGTTTGGAAACCATCGCCAACTTTCGAAAAAAAGGGGGGGCCCTCCATCTCCTCTTCTCCTCCTCTCCCTTGGCCCCTTGCTCATCCTCGCTTCCCCTTTGCCGTTCTGTCGTTCCCCCTCCGCGCTGGGGCCTGGCGCAGTCCGCGGGCGTGGGGGGCCCAGCGCGTAAACAAGAAAAAAAACGTGGTTCGGCTGGGTCTCGGGGTCGGCCGGGCTTCGGGGGCCCGCGTCCTCCCTGTCCTCCGCGCTTTTTCTTTTGTTTGTTCTCTCTCTCTCTCGCTTTTTTTTTTTTTTTCTCTCTCTCTCTCTCTCTCTCTTTGTTTTTTTTGTTGTTGTTTCTCTCTCTCTCTCTCTATATCTCTGCTGTTGGTTTATCTAATCGCTTCGCTCATTCCGCCGGCCCTGGATCCCTCTCAAGGGCCTCTTGGGGACCTCGTGGGAGTCTCTTGGGGCTCCTTGGCGGCGTCTTGTTTATCTCTTTCTCTCTCTCTCTCTCTGCTCTGTGTTGTTGTGTTTTGTGTTTTTTGTTGTTATATGTTTTCTCTCCCTCTCTCTCTCTCTTTCTATTTCTCTTCATGTTTCTGGTTTTGTTTCTCCTTGTTGTTGTTCTCTCTCTCTCTCTCTCTCTCTCTCTCTCTCTCTTTCATGCGCCATTGTTATCTGCTCTATCTCTCTTTGGTTATCTCACTCTATGTATTGCTATGTATTTCTCTCGCTCTCTCTCCCTTTTCTGTCTCTACTTTCTTTTTTGTTGATTCTATCTCTCGAAGCACTAGTGGCATCTCTCCCCATATCTAAATATACATAGGTATGTCTCTCTCTCTCTCTCTCCCTCTCTTTTGTGTTGTTCTCTCTCTCTCTCTCTATATATATACACACATATATATATATAGATAGATACATATATATATACATATCGGTGCGATTATATGTATTTGTTTATGTCTCTCTCTCTCTCTCTCTTTCTCTCTCTCTCTCTCTCTCTTCCCCCCCTTTTTGTTTTTGTCTCTCTCCCCCTCTCTCTTTCACTTTCTCTCTCTCTCTCACTCTCTCTCTCCTTTCGCAGTTGTCCCTCCCGCCCCTCCGCCCCCCCCTGCCCCGCCCCCCCCCCCCCCCCCCATCCCTCCCTCCCTCCCCCACCCCCACCCCCCTCCCTCCCTCCCCTCGCCGTCATTGTCGTCGTCGTCGTCGTCGCCCCTGGCCGCCCCCCATCGGGCCCGCCTGCCGCCTGGAGCCTGGCACTCCGACCCTTCAGCCAGCCAGGCCGATGATCCGCGCGACTGCCTGCCTCACCGCCTGCCGAGGGCCAGCCTGTCGGCCCTTCGGCCCCCGCCCTCCCCCCTCTCCTCCTTCCCTTCCCCCCTCCTTCCCTCCTCCCCTCCCATCCTCCTCCTCCTTCTCCTCCTCCCCCCTCCTCCCCCCCCCCTCTCGTCGTGGTCGTCGTCGTTGTGGCGAGCCCGCTGTCTGTCCATCTTGGGGTCGGGTTGCCGCGGGCCGGCGCGCGCATCGCCAGCGTTGCCACTGGCCATGCCGACGGTCCGCCGCTTGCCGGGGCCCGATTTGCCGGCCTCTGAGACGCGCGTGCCCCACTGGCGCAGGTTCTTTTGCAGGCTTCGAATGACGGCCTCTCTCGACGAGGCCCCCGGGGCGCCCCCGCAGGTTTCCGAAGCCCCTGGAACTGCTCGGTGGTCATCGGGGCCGTTCCGAGGCCCCCCGAAGGTCGCGGGAGGCTTCCGGGTGCCCTCCAATCCCCCCGCGCCTTGTTTCGCAGCAGTCTCCGTTCGCACCCACCTGCCCCCACTGTCCAACGTTGTTCCCCAGTCTTTCTTGTCTATTCACCTTTTTATCTTTACTTTTATGTCGCCCGCGCTCCATTGTCTATTCCTCAGTTCTCCGCGTTCCGCCCATTCCTCCCCAGGCCGCCCCACCCCGCCCCAACAATCTCCACTCCTTCCCGCTCGCGTTCCGCATTCTCCCAAATTATTCCCAGCCCCTCTTCCAGACTCCTCCGTGCGCCCCCCGCCCCCCCGCGCTCTTCCCCGTTCCTCTTTTCCACTCCTTGCCGCCCAGCCTGCCGAGGCCCTATTCTTGTCCACCCCATCTCAATCCACTCCACGCCCCCGCGTCCCTTTCGACGAGGTTGCAGTTCTCGTTATCCTTTTCCGCTCCAGTCTTCCCAACATCCCTCTCCTTTTTTCAGGGTTCCACGAAAGTTGTTTCTGGCGCCAGTTCGCAATTGCAGGCCCCCCCGCGGGGGCATCCACGATCTGTTATTTCAAGGGAGCGGCGCGCGGCGCTGCTTATGTCGCGAACCATGACGAAACTTACCGTTCACTTGCGTTGGAGTGGCTGGCGCAAGCCGTGGCGCAAGCTGAATCGCCACTCACAGCGCAAGCCATCGCCCCCCTCCTTCTTGCCTCCCCCTTTCTCTTCCTCCGATCCCTTAGTCTTCACTATCCCCCGTTATCTGTTGCCCTTGTTTTTCAAGGGCGTCGCCGACGACGCGCGGCAGGGGGTGAATATACCCCTCAAAAGGGGGCACGATCGAAGACGAAAAGGGCGGGCACCCAGGGTTTGGGATATGCATATTGGATGACGCGCAAGCAGATAAGAGGGAACAGTCTGGAAATGATTGTTGTTGTACAAATAATTATTGTTGACCCCCCATCACCGGTGTACATTGATTCTGTCAGTCACAGTGTGCCCTTCCTTCGACGCTCGCACCCTGTTTTTTTTTGGTTGTCAGGGAAAGTCTTCCTGGTCACACTGCGCCCCTGCCCCCCCCCCCGAAGTACAACAACAGCGGTTCCCGCCTGAGACGTCCTCCGAATTTACGCAGGACACCCCCCCCCTCCCGTCTGAGACTTCCTCACATTTTACTCAGGAGCGGCGCTCCCGCTTGAAACTTCTTTATAATCAAATCCGGGTCAAACTGCGTTGTTGCCCACCTGGGCTACAAAAACACAGCTCCCGCCGGACACTTCCTCCAACTTTATTCAGGACCCCCGCTCCCGCCTGAAACTTCCTCCCAATTCTTGACGCTTCGCGTATCCCCACCAGCCCATCCAGAAACGACGCCCAGGCGAATAAAGGTGATCATGGAAGCGGGGCAGCACACAGAGGAACAAGGGGCTCTGGAGGCCGTCGTACCCCAAGGGGTACGGGGGGATGGAGGAGGAGTCGGAGGCGGAAGAGGAGGAGGATGATGAGGGTGGGGAAGGAGGAATAAGGAGGAGGAGGAGGAGGAATGGGCGGATGATGATGTTGATGTTGATATTGATGATGTTGATGATGACGATGATGGTGGTGGCCTTGACGATGGTGATGGTGATTGTGAGGGTGATGGTGATGATGGTGCTGATGAGGGGGAGGAGGAGGAGGATAAGGGCGATCAGAAGAGTCAAAGGCCTCTTGAATGCCTCGCGGAGTCTCTTGGGACGTCTCTTGGGATACTCTTTGAGGTCTCTTGGGGCGTCTTGGGGGCCTCTTGGCGGTCCCGGGAGCTTCTTGGACCGTCTTGGGTGCCTCGGGGGAGCCTCTTGGGGTCTCTTGGGGGCCTCTTGGGGGTATTTTGGGGGACTCTTGGAGGCCTCTTGGGGCCTCCTGGTCGCCTCTTGGGGCCTGTTGGGCGCCTCTTGAGGCCTCTTGGGCGCCTCTTGAGGCCCTCTTGGGGCGCTCTTGGGAGCCTTGGGAGCGCTCTTGGGGCCATCTTGGAGGTGATCGATCAAAGGAAGGGCGTCCCCCAATTAGCCTCCCCCCTCGGGAGCCTCCAAAATCGGCCAAAACCCTAGTAAAACCGATGATTTTGGCTTCCTCGCCGAGGCCGTTTTGGACGCTCTAACTACCAGCGGCCCCCTTCCGTCCAAGTCCAGGGGAGGAGGTTAAGGGGGAGGGGTAAACCCCTCCCCGAAGGGGACGAAGGAGGTTGGAAGAGGAAACTCCCGGAACCACCTACGCCCAGAGGGCTGGTGGGATTTACTCAGGATCGGCGCTCCCGCCTGTGATTTCCTTGCAGTTTTGTCAGGACCACCCCTCCCGTCTGAGGCTCCCTCGCAATTTACTCAAGAACGGCGCTCCCGGTTAAGATTTCCTTGCGCTTTAGTCTAGACCCCCGCTCCCGCCAGATATCCCTTTTTCAAGAATTGTGCTCTCGCCGGTGAACTTCCGCTGTTTATTTAGAAATCGCGGTATCGACGCTCAGGCACCACGCTCGCGCCAAGGACGCCGTCACACTTTTTTAGGAATCGCGCTCTCGCCCTACTCAGGCATCCCAGTTGAATGTCCCACCCGCCCGATTCGCCCGTCAGGGGATCACCCCCCCGTCGTGGGTTGCCGCCCGAGACTTCCTTGTGGAATGCCGTTTTCGGCTAGGACTTGTTTCCGCACTCTTACCTTCCTGCTCCTCCCTCCTCCCGGGCCGCCTCCCCCGTCCTTTCGATTCCCTCTCCCTCGCACGTCAGCTGATGTTGAATTTCCATTCTTGAAGAATGATTTCTGTTGGTCCCCCCACCAGTGCGCATTGTTTTTTCCTGAGTCAAAGTGCGCCCCTCGACGCTCGCACCCTGTTTATTCGACAGGGAAAGTCATGCGGGCCAAACTGTGCCCCTGGGCCCCCGGCTACAACAACAACGGTTCCCGCGTCAGACGCGCCCAGTGAGGCCCCGCCACGCTGCCCACAGAGGCCCCTGCCGCAGCCCACGGAGGCCCCGAACGCGCCCACAGAGGTCCCGCCAAATTGCCCCCGAACGCGCCCACGGAGGCCCTGCCACCCTGCCCACTGAGGCCGTTGGCGCAGCCCGCACAGGCCCAGAACGCGTTCCAACTTCGCCCTCAACATCCCGCTGGGCAGCCCCAGAGCCCATTGGGACAGCCAGCCTGCCGCGCACGTGCCGGTACCAGTGCTGCAGCTGGTGGCGTTTGGCTGGGGTATCGTGCCCCATGTGTTCCCGAACAATGCCAGACCTCTGACCCCAACTTTGTGGCTGGAGACGGCGGGCTCCAGTTCACCCCCCATGTCTCCTTGAGCGTTGCCTCCCATTTCACGTTGAGCAGCATCGCCAGTGCCTGCTGCTGCGGCTTGCCCTTCTCGCACACGCAGATCCCGGCGCTTTGGTAATGGTGCTCCGTTATTGTATATAGCTCATAAGATCCCCGCGCGTTCGAATCCCAACGCTGTGATTCATGAAATCGGGCTCCCACTTCACCTTCAAAGGGGCCGCGGGGCAACGACACTGTCCACTGACATAGGTCGTTGTCCTGCACGCGGTGACCGCCGCGTTATAGCTCATGGAATGGATCCCGGTGTCGACTGCCGCATCCCATAGACAAGTGTCAGAGCTCGCTACCTCTGATTGCCGTTTCGCCTCCCACTCTCGCTGAGCAGCGCCAAAACCAGCTACCACAATGCGGTTTCCCCGCTCGCTGTGAATGCCGCGTGTCGCGCAGCAACAACAAAGCCCGCGGCCCCTGCTTGTTCCTCACACCCACCCAGGCCCTGCGGCGCTCCAGGAGATGGCATCGGGCACCACATTCGTCTCCAACGCCTCGCCGAGCAGCACCAGAGGTGTCACATGGCGCTGTTAACGGCGCGACCCATGGCGGAACCTTTGCTAACCTGTGTTGGAATGGCTGGCCCAAGCCATGGCGCAAGCTGGATCGCAACTCGCGAGACAAAGCATCGTCGTCCCTCCCTCTCGCCCTTCTATTTAATCCCTCCCTTCCTCCGATCCAGTCGTCCTCTCTTTTTGTCTTGTCCCGTTCGTTTCCCTGTCTGGGGGCTTCTCCAATTGCGCGTGGCTGGGAAGGAATTTAACCCCCCAAAAGGGGGCACGATCGAAGACGAAGAGGGCGGGTATCCAGGGCTTGGGATATGCATAGTGAATGACACGCGGGCCGGTAGGAGCGAACAGTCTTGGAATGATTGTTGTTATTGTTAGTATTGTTATTGTTGTTGTTGCTGTTGTTGCTGCTGTTGTTATGTTGTTACTTCCCTTTTTATTCCCAACAGGCTTGACCATCGGAGCTTCGCGGTTGTTTTTCGTTCCCCTCCCTCGCGAACATAAAGACACGAAGGTGCGAATGGCCGTGCTCTCACCCCCGTCCCGGCTACATTTTGTCGTTCTCTGAGCTTTCCTGCCAGGCCTCTCCTATTCCTCGGCCCGCCTCTTCACTTTGGCTGCTATGAGGGTGCGTCGCGTTGCCGGGGCATGAAGTGCCCCCCGGATGGCTGGCAGGGAGTCTCTTGGGGGCATCTTTGGGACACGTTGGGCGTCTCGAAGGGCCGTCGTCGCATGGGGAGGCGACGGCTGGGGTGAGCGGAGGAGGGGGGAGGTGGGGAGTTTCCTAGATGGGGTCGGAGTAGATAGGGTCGGAGGATCGCGCTTCATCGCCGATGCATCGGCAATGCATCGGCACTGCGTCGGCGATCGGTGATGAGGGGCCCAATTTCATTCACGCCGACGTCGCCGATGCATTGCCGACGTCGCCAGTGCATCGCCGATGCATCGGCGATGTATCGCCGACGTATATGCGAGGCGGCGAGATCCCCCGACACCATCTACTCGGACCCCATCTAGGAGGCATCTATGGAAAGTAGGCAGGGGGGGAGTCGGGGCGCCTGCTCCCAGGCCTCTTCGCAGCGGGTGCAAGAGGGGGGGACGGGGCCCAGACCCCCTCGCGTGGCGAACAGAAGCGCGACGGGAGGTTTTTTTTCGCCAGTTTCGGTATCTGCGGGTTTTCGCACGGCCCCAGGATTTTTAAAACAACAAATCAGGATGAAAACCAGTTTTGGGGAAGGGTCCGAACCTCTGGGGGTCGACGTTGCGAAAAGAAGCATGACGTGCGGGGTCTGTGGGGGAGGAGGCAGAGGGTTTGGATGTCGCCACAGGCGTCCCTGGTCCAAGGCGCCCCCAGCGTCTTGCTCCAAGGACGGAGGAGTGTTCGGGTGTCGCCACAGGCGTCCTTGGTCCAAGGCGTTTCCAGCGTTTCGCTCCAATTTGGGGCCCCCCGGGGGCCTCTGGGCCTCCAGATGGGGGTGCTCTGAAGAGGCCACGCGGGCCTCCTGAGGCACCCTGGGGGGGGCGGGGCCTGGGGGCCAAGGGCCACCTCAAGCAACACCTGGAGGAGGAGGAAACGGGCGAAGGACGGGGCAGCTCGGGCTCGCGCCAGCGGGCGGTTGCCGCCGCGGCGGCGGGGAGGAGGGGGGAGGGGGAGGGCACAGGAGGGGCATAGAGCGCCATTCTGCACGGCGGGAGAAACGTGCCGGTCCTGAAGTGAGGCCAGCGATGCAGGGCAACCGCGGTCCTGAAATGCCGAAGACGCTCCGATCGGACAAAAAACATAGCCCGCCGCAGTTGCGGGTAAGAGTGAGGGGGCGGCGGGGTCGTCGGCAGTCTGCGAGGCTCTGAAGAAGCCCGCCGCAGGCGCCGATATTCTACACATTGCACAACAAGCCAGCCGCACGCGCCAATTTCGTCAAAGCAACGTGGGTGGGTCGTGGGAGTGTCGCGGGTGGGTCGCGGGTGGGTCGCGGGTGGTGCGCGGGCGAAGAGGACCACAACAATTACCAATACACACACAATCCGTGCCGCGGAATCCCACGTCTGCCGCGCAGCCAGGGACACCGTTCGGCCTCCTCACTAGGGTCAAAGCATGATCGACCACATAATGGATGCTTGCGTGAAGAATGCACGGTGGGCGGATAATTTCAGCACGCATTCGGGGGAGAGAGGATCGTAGTCTCGTAGTTCTCATATTGAGTAATGCACAGGAGTTGTGGAGGGAGGGAGGGAGGGAGGGAGGATGGGGGAAGGGAGGGAGGGAAGGAGGAAAGGGGAGACGCAGAAGCAGAAGAATGAGCGTAAGAAGGAGGAGTACAAGCCTCCTCGAGCCCCCCCCCCCAGCAGACCTCTGAGGCATCCTGAGATCATTTTCCCCGTCCCCCTCCTCCTGCCGACTGTTCTGGGGTGGGGGTTCTGAAATGATTGCCCGTCCCCTCCCCCTCCTCCAGATTTCGGACGCCTTGATTGTTTTCCCAGCGTGGTCCTCCAGAGGTCTACGCTCCTTCCCTGGGACCAGCTGTTCATCCCGAGTCGCTCTGGCGGTCCCCAGGCCCAGCGAAGGCCCTCGAAGGCAAAATTCTGCAACATAACAAGCGCCCACCGTGATGACGTTCACGACCAGCGGAGGTGGGGGGGGAAGAGGAGGTGGAGGAGCAGGAGGACGAGGAGGAAGAGGCCTAGGAGGAGGAGGGCTAGGAGGAGGAGGAGGAGGAGAAGGATGATGATGCTGATGCTGATGCCGATGATGATGATGATGATGATGATGATGATGATGATGATGATGATGATGATGATGCTGATGCTGATGCTGATGCTGATGATGCTGATGCTGATGCTGATGCTGATGCTGATGATGATGATGATGCTGATGGTGGTGATGCTGATGCTGCTGCTGATGTTCATGCCGATGCTGATGCTGATGCTGATGATGATGATGACGATCATGATGATCATGATGATCATCATGATCATGATGATGCTGCTGCTGATGCTGATGATGCTGATGATGATGTTGATGATGATGATGTTGATGATGATGATGTTGATGATGATGATGATGGTGATGATGATGATGGTGATGGTGATGGTGATCATGATGATGATGAAGATGATGATGATGATGATGATGATGATGATGGTGATGATGATGATGATGCTGATGATGATGATGATGAATATGATGATGCTGATGACGATGATGATGATGATGGTGATGGTGATGGTGATGATGATGATGATGGTGATGATGATGATGCTGATGCTGATGCTGATACTGATGCTGAGGATGATGAATATGATGATGATGATGATGCTGATGATGATGATCATGATGATGATGATGAATATGATGATGATGATGATGATGCTGATGCTGATGCTGATGATGATGATGATGAGGATGAGGATGAGGATGAGGATGAGGATGATGATGCTGATGATGATGTGATGAGGATTGATGGGTGATGGTGATGGTGATGGTATTGGTGATGGTGATGTGATGATGATGGATGATGTATGAGAGGCCGCCGCGAAGTTGAGGATGGGGAGAGATGAGGATGGAGGTGATGATGATGCTGATGATGAGGATGGATGATGATTCTGAGGATGATGTGGTAGATGGTGATGATGATAGAATGATGGTGATGATGATGATGATGATATGATGGTGGATGGTGATGTTGATTGGGATGGTGACGGTGATGGTTGGAGATGATGATGATATGATGATGATTGATGCTGAATGATGATGATGATGATGAATGGTGATGTGATGGTGATGGTGATGGTGATGGTGATGTGATGATGATGATGATGATGATGATATGGATGATGATGATGATGATGATGATGATGATGATGATGATGATGCTGATGTTGATGATGATGCTGATGATGATGATGCTGATGATGATGATGATGATGATGATGATGATGATGATGATGATGATGATGATGATGCTGATGCTGATGATGACGATGACGATGACGATGACGATGACGATGACGATGACGATGACGATGACGATGACGATGACGAGGACGATGACGATGACGATGA